TGGGATCTGAGAACCCCATGAGACRTTTTAGATACTCATTTGCTCCACAYAGGGATTATTTTTCACTTGAAATTTAATGTAAGCCTTGCATTACATTCTCATATTTATGATACAGAAATACTCTGGGCCTAKACCTACAGTTCCTGTGAGATGATAGAATCCATAGAACAGCACAAAACAAAACAAATTCTCGTGAAAAGACAATATTTATGTAACTGATCATAATTTTCAATGTAATACATCATCCTACAGGAGAGAAATTCCTTCCTTTTCCCAAGACCAGATGCCCTAATGCCCTGTAAACAGCAATGAAGAGCCTGACTTTTATGAAGTGCACTTATAGGAACACTGTAAAAGTTCATAAATCAAGGAAGCTCCTCATTACAATTTGAAGTGCTGGGGCCTAGATATCTCAATAAATAAAAGAGATTCACACTTTCTGGGGTTTCTTGACATCAAGTGGTTCTGTCTTAAAAGTTTAAGTGAAAAGTTATAACGAGCAATTTCTCACATTTTTAACCCAGCTCGGATCCCAAAGAAAAGTTTGTCTCTTTCAAAGCTGAATGGCTCTGACATTGCTTGTTGTTTCTCAGAAAACTTAACTGAATTTCAAGTTAGTAAAACGTGATTGTCATTGCTGATACTAACTTAGAAGATATCAAACCAGGTTCAGAAGAGAACAGGAAAATAAACAAATAAATACAACTAATAAATACAAGTAATATGCCTTCCTTAAATACACTTAAGGCAGGACATGGACATTAGATGACAAAATTATTTGACYGTGCTTTATTGAAGCTATTTAGAAATGTGATTGAATTTAATAAATTCACATTAAATTTTTCATGAGCTCTAAAATATACAAATTCCCCAACCAGGAAGAATTTGAGATTTTTTTTTTTTTTTTTTTTTTTTTTTTTTTTTATTTATTTCCCTCGAGATAAATGATGCAATTATTCTATTGCTCTGACGTTCACTGCAATAGGAATGTAAAAGTACTCTTAATCTGGTCAGAGAATGTTTTCTATTCCACTTTTTGGTACATAGGAGTACATTTTTTTTTCTTTTTCCATAATCAGGCTGCTGAATAGAAAACATTACTGACTGACGTTTATATTAATGAGGCTAAATAAAAACACAGATGGCTTCTACTAAGTGAAGGAACTGAAAGTAATGATGTGCTATCTTAAGCCACTGTCCTGCAAAATCAGGGACCAGGATAAASAGAAATCTGATTATTCTAGCTGAGCAAGAAAGCTCAAATAAACATAGCCTCTCTCTGTCAGAATCCTTGTCTGAATTACAAAATTGATTTTTTTTTTTTTTTTTTAAGAGAAGAGCTGTCAATAATTTGAAGTAGTACTTGAATTCTTGTACACTAAGCAGTGATTCAACACCAGTTTGGAAATAGTCCTGAAACAATACTTTTTAGGAAAAATGAGTGTAATAGATTGAGTCAAGGGACCCAGAGATGTGAAATGAAGTTTCAGGTGTAGGCCTTTCAATGGCCCAAAGAATGGCAAAAGAAGAGCAAGAATGAATTATCCTTAGACTTCTCTCCTGGGTCATTCCCTAGCCAATCATAACTTGATTCAAAATGAACCAGAGCAACCTGGCAATATTGTAGCCTAGTATGTATTTCTCTCATACATCAGATTTTTTTAAAAAGAAATAACCCAACAAAAATATTTGTATACATTTATGAAGGTTTCACAGGTTCAGATAGTTCTGTTTTGAAATGAATATAGCTAACCATAATTTTAAAATAAAAAAAAAAAATAAATAGTGTATAAAGAGTAAATAAGTTTTCATTYGTTTATAAACTCTCATGTTTAACAAAGGGAAAGTTTACATAAAMTTGCATCTGGTTATTATTTATATTAACTGTAATAATGTAAAAGATGAACACTTCTTCCCTTAACTCAGAGTTTTGTCATTCAAAATAGTCTTTTTTTATACCATACGTACAACTTCATACATCCACGACTTTTAATCCTATAATTTATAAATGAGAAAGTTTAAAGCCTAAATTATACTCTTAGTAAGGAGCTTTTTTGGCAAAACTTTCAGTAATTTTACCAGTTACCACAGTGTGTGTTGGCTTTGCGTGTAACTCTGATTTTGTCATTAAAGCTTTTTCTCCTGTAAGATCTCTCCTTTTAGACTGATGAAAAGACTTCCGAAAAAAAAAAAAGTTTATTTAAATGTAAAAGAATCTATGGCAAAAAAGTTACATTTGTTTCTGAAACCCCAGTCCCTACTGAGCTTTTGCATTGGTGGATGGATTTCCAACCATTTCAATACCAAGAAGTTAAAGAAATTATTGAACAGGAAAGTTCTAGTAGCTGCAAATATGAATTTATCCCTTGGGATTTTTCTATATAATTTCTTTTTATAGGGTTTAGTCCAAACTAGTTTAAAATGCCTTAGGTGCAGGGCTCTTTCCATTTGCACAGACTAATAGATCTTCATTGCAACATTTTTCATGATACCCTAATTGATCTTTTTTTCAACTTCTTTCAGTTTGCTGTTTTTATATACCCTGAAGATATAGTAAACAATTTCCTTCCCCATTTCTTCAGGTACCATTCAAATAACAATAAATGGCTGAAGCTTGAATTTAGTCGAATTTCCTATTTTTTTTTTTTTTTTTTTTTTTTTNTTTTTTTTTTTTTTTTTTTTTAAATCTTGGCACACACCCACACATTTAGCGTCACATCTCTTTATCCCCCATTGAGGTCTGAAATGCAAAAGAGGCAGATGAGAGACGGGTCAGAGGTAGGTGAGGACTCTCAAAAATTGCTGGTCCTAGAGATAGCTGGGTTGCACTTGTCACTGTGATGAAGAAAGCCTCCTCTGCAGATTGCAGTTAGGCAGTGTTCTGTTTTGGAGAATTGAGATGATGGCAAGAAAAACTGCATCTSCCCTGAGTATTCAGCTGCTCTAGACAGCATTAGCTTTCAAATGACTCTTTGCTTGGGATCATTTTCTTCATGTTCTTTAAAGAGAGGTTAGTTGAAAATTTTCTTCTGATCTCTCCTTTGTTCATAATTTAATTTTATAAATTGTCACAACCTGAGCTGGATATAAGTTATATGGGTGATAATTTATGGATAGGAGTCCTCTCTCTGTTTCTYTGTCATAACTTGGAGTGGAGTCCTCTCCATGCTCCTTTCTTATACAATCTTGAAAGGCATCATTCTGTTTTATGAGCTGGCAGTGACCCCTGCCAGTGCACATATTTGGACAATAGATCTCAAAATGTCATGCCTTATCCATGTATGCATAATGARTAATGGTCCAGGTAATAATGTGGAATGTGAACCCCTTCCTCTTTCTAGGGATCAAGGAGGCAGMAGTGCTGTTTTGCACTTGTCAGATTAATCATGTTCTCATTTTGGCCAATATTCCTAGAAACTCCCTACTATTTGCAGGGGTTTCCATTGATATGTATGGAGGGGAAAAAATGAAAGAAACAAGGAATAAAAAAGATATAGCTATTCCATCTGAAGTCTAGAATAATTTATGCTGCTGTAGCAATTTACCAACATTGATCTCTGAGTAGAAATTCTCCTTACATCAGTAGAAAAGGAATGAGGATAAAACATGATCCATGAAATTGTCTTTTACTTGAGAGTTTTTTAGACAGAGTAAGCTGCAGATTGTGCTATGAATATCTTTTCAACCATAATGCACAACCCTTTGGAAAAATAAAGGTCAAGAAATCTAAAGCAAAGARCTTCTGGAACTAGGGTGAGGAAATGGCAAAAAGCCCACCAACCCATGGTAAATGAGAGATAAAAATTTAACTCAATTTTCAGAGTGGATATGCATTATAACAAAATKTTGCAGTTTTTGAATTTACAGTAGATACATATATCTGGCTAWCAGATAATTTTCTCTTCTGTTGCTGTTTGAACCTTCTAAACATGTTTACCCACAGCAAAAAAGTGTCCTTGACTTGAAAGAAAATTTAACCATGCTGATTAATTTTATAACTATTTGCCTGGTGTTAATGAAAGAAAACCAGAAAGGAAACAACACAGAGCATGTAGTCCTGTGATCTATGATGCTTCTGGAATAACTGAGGAAGAATTTCAGAACAATTTTGGGTCTGCTAATTTTAGAAGATATTCTAGAGAATATTGTTCAGCCTAATACAACAATTTAGCTGAAACAATAACGACATAATTGACAAAATTACATAATAATTACAGTGCTTTAGAGTGAGCTATATTAAAGTATGACTCATCACTCAATACATAAGAAGTCACAGGGCTACGTCACAACCAGCAGTGCAGTGCAGTGCAACATGGTGTAGCTGCAGCCAAAGAAGAAATTTAAAATCAGCAACCTTTTGTTAATGAGCGGGAGAGGAGGGGAATTAATGGAAARCATGACTATGAATTTTGTTTTACTTTAATGAATTAAATTTAAAAAGTGACAAGGAATACTTGTACAATTACAATTAAGAATTAGAGCCTTTTTAGAAAAATATTTAATAAATGTTAYTGTTTGAATCTCACACGTCCTCTGGTAATACTTGTAATAGTTTGTTTTATTGTGRAAGGAGAACTATTCTACTTCTCAGTTCGGGAAATGATTGGTGAAGTGGAAAAGCAATGATAGAATTTTCTRAGATAATTACATTTTTTATTAGAATACTTTATCAATGATCTCTTTGAAAGAAAAGCTGTGCAGTGTAGCAGTCAGGCATAAAACACATAACTTCCCATGAAACATTCTGAATGGCTTTCTGTAATAGAATTCAGTCGAAAACAATGCTTTGAAAAACTGTAGTTTCTGCAAATTTTTCCCTTACATAAGCCTTACTTGTTATGCAGAAGATACATATGACCTCTATCAATTTCCTATCTATTAATCCTTTCCTTGATAGTAAACAAAGTCAGCTAAAGCTATTCAACAGCACAACTACACATCATTAGAAAAGTTACTATGATAAAGTTTTTCTRTTAAAAAGTGTGATGGGTTTTACTTACCAGGTGTAAAATTATAGCGAGCAGAAAACCCAATAGATTCCAGTTCACCATCAGCAAAAAATTTAATCCACAGGAATCTGCCACTGGATTTTATCATAGGTGGATTTTGCTGTCCACAGAAACGTCCAATGATTGGGGAAAAGCCAAAAGGTCCATCTCGTACTTCAATATGATCAAATTTACACTCCCAAGAAGGCTCTATGGAATATTTTTCATCAAAGTGTAGTTCAATGCATTGTCTAGGAGCAGCTAGAGACAAAAAGAAAATAGTCTTATTATTTTCTAACCCAAGACCCTTCAAAACTAAAGCAAGAAAATCAAAGATATCAATTTTGTATGCATCAGCATGTTGCACAAAGACTTGAAAATTAGTACACCTGTACTTTTTATAGATTTTGCACTGTCAGGTTACTGGTCTATTGTCRTCCTTTAAAAAAGTGCTCTGGATAGAAGTGCTCAGTAAAGCTAAGAGAGATATGTATGATGAAAAGACAAATCTAGTCAGGAAAATTTTCTTCAGACACAAAACCTTTCTAAGGAACTTACATATTTCAAAAAACACTTTTTCTTTTATATTTGGAGGGGATGTTAATCAGAATACTTTGTTTTAKCTAGTGATGACAATGATGATGAAGAGAATGCTGATCACAATTGTGCTGCAGTAAGGACAGATTATTTTTCTATATGTATTGCAGCCAATAACAAACTGGAGTGCAATCTCTCATACTCAGAATAACATATCATCTCATTGGAARCATAAGAACAAATGTAGTGAATCTTGCTTAAGAAAGAACCAGATAAGGATGATAATTGAAGAGGAAATCATATACTGAAAACCTTGAAGGAACTTCATAGTGGTCTTAATTAGACGTATAAAAAAAAAAAATCCATCAATGGTAAGTACTAAGTTTAGAGACAGTCGGAATGATCTCTAAAACAAATATTCCCTGGCATCTCCTGTATAAAACAAAACAAAACAAAACAAAACAAAACAAAACAAAACAAAACAAAACAAAACAAAACAAAACAAAAAAAGTAAATGTTAGAAATATAGTATTTTCTTAAAAGGATGAAAAATATCATTATTTGATCGATACATTTTGTTGGAGGCAGCCTCCTAGAGGTGCACTGCTTTCTATGCTTAATCCTGTCCATAGCAAAACCTGTGCCTTCCATGTCTAGAGCATGGTGCACCAGAGCATTTGCTGACAAAGCCTTCTGCTAAGACAAGGATTTGTTGTGTCATTGCCTGCTGTGCCTCTCACGGGATCATGTCCTGCACTTTGCACGTCTCAAAAGACGTTATATTGCTACGAGCTTTGCCACAGTTACTATTTTTTTCTCATGCAAATATGCAAGGTCAAACCCCATGCCGAGTGCATAAGCCTGGCATGGGAAYGGCTGCCACTCCAGGAGTCAGCATCTCTGCATTTGTTTCCTCAAGAGTAATGAGAAAACTGTCAGTGTGACCAGAACTCATATCTTGTTTGGATTTTGAAATGTTTTAAATTGAAGCTTTTGGTATGAACTCATTACTCACACAAGAAAAGAGACTATTTCAAATTAACTGAATAAGGAGATATTAGGAAAATTTTGAAAACTTTACATAAGAGCACATAGTCAGATCCTTTTTACAACTATGACATAAATAAATACAGACTCATTTTATAAGAAGCATTTAAAAAGTTATTAAAACACATTATTTGAAAGGAAAGATTATTTTAACAACTTTACATTATTAATATAATTGGATGATTGGTATTTATAGAAATATTTAATTTAACATAAAAAAGAAACCCTTTCTACTGCTCTCAATTGGAAGAAATTTACATTCAGAGAAGAATTTACTATTAACTTGTTATTTATACCAATTTACAGAAAATTTTTGATCTTTGTGCCCCTACAAATTCAATAGCAAAAGCAAAGCTTTATGTTTTACATATAATTGCACCATATTCACAGCCTATAGAAAAGAAAGCATTTTGAAAGCACAAAAAACTGTACAAAAGTAAAGCAAGATAATAAAGTTTGTGATGGAGATCATAATGAAGTCATCTTTGGTGAGGTTTGAAGATCAAAGTAAATCTTTTTAGATTACAATAAAAGATTGAATACCTGGAAGGCTTCATCGATTAATTTTATTTAGATGTTTTTATCCTTGTCTTTACACTTTTATAAAAAATATTGATTTAAAGTCAACTAAGCAAAACAGAAGAGAGCAATCAGCAACTTTCAATCTAGGATCATATTCTGCATGCTTTTATTCATTGTAACAATACTTGTTGAAAACTGTTGATCACCTAAGAATCGGAGAGTCAGGTATCAGAAATTCCATCCCGAAAACACTTTAGGTAATCTTAAGAATGGTCAACATGGCTCGAATATCTTATACCTGCACGATTCCAGTGTTATGCTATTAACCTGCCTTTAGTAATTTTTTACTAAATTGAGCTTTATTGTAATGTTTTAATGTCACAAACTAGATATGAAGATCAATTCCTCTGCTACTGTTAGTCTCACACAGCAGCATAGCAGTGTATGGCTGCTCTGCTTCCCACAGTCACAAAGTGGTATCCGCTTCAAAAATGGTTTATGCCATTATCAGAACATATTTGTACTTTGCACGCTTTCTTTTCTGCTGCCTTGTTTCATACCAAGAAGAGGATTACAAGTGCTGGTCCATAGTTAAACCTTTAACTGGTCTTCTCTGTATCCATGACTCATGTAACATGACAAAAATGGCCACAGGGCCCCATCAGAGTTGTAGTTCAGCCATTTGACATGATTTTTGGTGTTGAAAAAGAGCCCTAGAGCCAACTATAGCCTCAGTATAATATAAAAGGAAATATTGTGGGCAAATAAGAATCAGGCTCACAGAGTTACACATGAGATCTATTGACTGGGTGAATGCATGACCGGAGAAAAAGCAAAATTTCCAAAACCAAAACCTCCATGTAGCTCCCTGAATCTCACCCTGTCGACCAGTTTTATGATCAGAATATTTCTACAGTTTACACTATTCTGCTTTTATTTATTTTTCAAAAAGTCTGCTTTTATTTATTTTTCCTAGTGAAGCTCAGATCTTGCTAAAGGATCAGAGAGAATCACATCAGCTCAAGGAGGGCTCAAGAGCTTCCACTTTTGGCCTCTTCCATGAGGAGAGGCTACTTCACTCTAAGAATGGAGCATTGAATATTCATTAGCACCACTTCTCCACTGGGATACAGTAAGGCTGGGGAATGAGATTGAGGGCTGGGCCACAGCCTGTTCACATTCCTTTAATGTTAAAGTCACTTTCTGGCATCATTTTGGCCATGCCAGTAGGAACACTTCACATTTGTAACTGTGTGTAACTCTGGAGTGCAGCACACACATCCATGACCTTTGCATGTGTTTCTCTGTGTTTCATCTTGTGCTTTATATCTAGTCAATGGTAAAATGTTTTGTTTGCCATAATCTACATAAGACACAAAATTAATCAAAACTTACTAGAAATGACCATAAGGGATGAAAATGCATAATTCARTTCTCAACTTTCAGCTCCTTTTAGCAAAAATGGTATAATTTCACACCTTCGTACTCTGGGTTTAATAAGGGGTTTCGTTGCTAAATGCAAGGTAGAACAAGCTGCTAATGTTTAAATACACATCCTGTGCCACAGCTTTTGCAACAAAAGGTGTGCAAATGAGGTCACAGTAAAACTTACAGAAATAAACTGGGAAAAAGTCCAGAACAGTCACTAATAATAATGTGTGTGGACCAACAGAAAAATAAAACAAACAGAAAAAAATCCAGAATACGCAAGTCTTCCACACTGGATTGGCATCAGGCCATGTAATCAGAAAAGGATGGCTGGAGTGGTCGTTTCTAGCATCCTTATTCACAGGCAAAGCCCATTCACATCTTCAGAACTTCTGTAGTCATGATGTCAGGAAAAGTTGTTGTCAACTCCAAATGCAATATATTGAATAATATATTGCCCATAAAATGATCTTATTTTAAACCTCAAAACTTCCAATTACCTTTCTTCAAAAATGCTTAATGGAAAGGCCTACTTAATGGTTGCATATCTTGTCATATTTTTCATTTGATTATCTTATACAAGTGCTGTCTTGAGATTTTGTATCCAATGAAAAAAAAGTCATAGAGCTCCAGCTTGCAGTAAAACAGTTGCAGCAAAACCACACAATTAAGGTTTTAATTCTGATCAGCCTCTAAGTCWGTGTAAGTGACAGCTGAAGTTAAGTGAAAAAATCTSTTTCAATTTGCCACATGGCTTGGAAATGAGAAACTGAGCTCAACACCTACTCCCATCCCTATGAGCTGTTACCCTACTAACGGTTTTTAATAATCTTCATTCTCTCTGGTTGTCCTGCTATTATTGATAATATATGTTCATTTTAAAAGAGGATTCTTTCATTATTTGGAAGAAAAATTTTTGAACACAAAAATCWCTATGAAATACAAAAGGACTTTGAGGTTTTTCATTCAGTAATAAAGTTTTTAACACCTGTGAAATATCTGGAATGAAAGAGCTTAATGGTCTTGTTCAAGAACATGAGAGACCTTTAAGAGGCCTAACTCTACAYGTTCACAAACATGTAAAGTTGGAGATTTATTTCATATCTCCATGAAGCAATTCTAGTCCATAACTATATTTATAAATAAGCAATTATTAAAAGCTGAAGAATGGCTGAAATTTTACAAGTATCCACTTACAGGATTGTCAAACCAACTCTCAAATTATAGTGCAAAAAGTATGACTAAGTATGACTACCCTGCTCCCCAAATATTTCAATACAAATAAAAGCCTTTGCTCCTATAAAATCTCCTGTGCAAATTTCCCTTTGTAGCACGCATGCCAAATGTTCTGCAGTCTGGCAAAGGCTAATGCTGTCACTGCTATGATTGTTCTGGGCAGCTGTGAATTTTGTCAGGTTAGAGTCATGAATATGCAAAATAAGGGTGAAATTTGGCCAAAGACAGCTATTTTCTGTTTCTTATATGCCAAATAAGACTGAAAGAAAAAAAAAAAAAAGAAAAAAACAAACAAAAAGAACAAACCCTCATTGCATTTTGAAAGGCAGATGGGATTCATCAGAAGCTCCTTGTGGAGTTGCATCTCCCTCCTCCAAGCCACTCTTTTTGAGGCTGTTCTGAACTCATTTGTGACACTCCTCTTTAGCATAACAATTTTTGTACAGAGTCCATGATTTCTAGACGACCTAAAGRTTTTCTTTTAGAAAGGTATTCAACCTGACTTTAAAATTCCTAGTTGTCTCAAGAGTTCATTGGCATTACTACTAAAAGAGATTTTAGTTGTCTCAAGAGTTCATTGGCATTACTACTAAAAGAGATTTNTGAGACTTCCAGCTGTTTCATTTGCTCATGTCTTTGACTGCTACAGTAGAAGCCTCTGCAGTCAGAAATCCTCTTCTCTTTTAGAAATTCACAGTCTATGATCATGGCAACTTTTGCCAGCTCCTCTACTTCACCAAAGTAATTTTGACATGATAAAAGGTTATCATACATATAAACTGAGATAAAATGTGGAGGAAAAAAATTGTAYCAGGAGGTGAAATTCAATTTTTTTACAACACACTGCAAGCAAAGACCACTAAAGTCACTAGGAATTGTGTCTGAAGGAAGCAATCAGAATTTGTGCTAAGACTGTGTGATAGCAAAAAAAGGAAGGAAGGAATACAAGCAGCCAGGAAAGAATCTAGTGATTCATACATATGTATTTACACTCAAGTCACACATCTTTCAGTATGGTATATACAGCACTGTGTGCTGAGCTCCCTGAGACATGCAATGGGGAGATGGCAATGGGGTGGGGGATGCTATTATGGATCATATCAACAGTGCCTCTAGTTTGGTACTTGGCATTCAATAGGATTCTATGAAGCTATGGAAGCATATTGGAATTGCAATAATAAATATGGAAATAAAATGCATATGGAGATGGTTTTGCCTTACTCTACAATATTTATGTCCTCCATTAATTAGGATGAGCCACAATTTCCATAGATTGTTATCTCATCTCAAAAATATTACTATCAGTATTTTTTTTTTTTTTTTTTTTGGCAATCCTCATATGCCAATGAGTTCCATAGAATATAAAAGATTTGGGGAAAATTTATACTTGCTACCCTTATTTATCATTTTCTGCCATTTTTATGCATCATAAAAAGAAGGAATATGGACAAACAATTTATTCTAATTACAAAAAAGTTTTTGGTGACCTTCAGTACTTCTTTTTTTGAAATCTTCCCCATTTTAAAATATTATTGCTTAGACATCTCACTATATCTCTGCTTATTTTTGTGACATTTTCCAGACAGACATGACTATTCCTGATCATTTTAGAAGACAGAAATAGACACGGGGAGATCAGAGCTGAAAATGTTGTGCAATGTCCACAGTTCTCATCAAATTATGTACTGATAGAGCTACTTTCATTGTGGGTTTTTAAATGTCCAGCTGCAATCCAAACTGTTGATTAAGCCAGATGGAAAGAAGAAAATATCAGTGGCATAAAAAAATTGTGTTCAAGTGGATTTTACAAGATTGAATTTTTCAATAAAATACAACAAGATGTCTCTTGAGTTTGCTCTTTTTCCTATACATTGATCTAATCTTGTCAATGTGGAATTTCATCTTCGTCATGGAAGCTGGTTGATTAACTCCTTCCTTCTTAAATTGTTCTCAGGCATTTCCATTTTTAGGTATTTTAAATCACGTTATTCAACAGTGCATTTTGCCATCTTTCAGCATATTAACTATATTTTTGCAAGTACTTAATTTCTATAATAAAGAAAAAACTCTATAATACTGGACTTTCAGGCGCTTCTTATTGTGAGGAAGAGCATCTCACTACCTGAGATATGGGACTAAATTTTACAAAACTGGGGTCTTTTTTCCTACACTCTCTCTTTCATGATAAAACATCATGTGTTTCAGATCTTTGAAGATAAAACAAGCTTACTTCTTTCCAGTCTCACAGGAGTGTTAGATAATTTGATCAATATATGCAAAAAGACCTGAATCTAGCAACATAAGTGCAACCAGAAAAAAAATAATGCTAAGTTGTACATTTTKAACCTATACATTTATCTTTCTTAAAAAAATTGTATTTATTTTAAAGCAGTTACTAAACTATGGAAGAATTAAAATATTTACTGTACATCTGCTTCAGTTTCAGACTTACACACAAGGGCTGACTAGCATAAATTTTCTTTTAAGACCTTGTTTGTCTACATCATTTATAATCACCTCTTCTGACTTCAGTCAAGTTATCTAGCACCAAAGTGGAATTTAGTCATTTTGTTGTGATTTTTGCCTTTCTAAAAGTGCATAACATGTGTGTGTGTGTGTGTGTGTGTGTGTCTAAAACAGCTAATTCAATTTAAATCAGTCATGCATCTTTGGAAATATATCTTGGTATTACCTGCATTTTTAGTTAAATAAATATTTCTGCAAAACCTGGCTTCATCATTAATAAATTAATAATTCTGTAAATGAGGCATGGATAGAAGAGTATCACTTTTATTCTACATATGTTCACAACTCATAAAAGAAATTTATTCGTTCCAGGGACCTAGTATATAGTACCTGATTCATCATGTCTGAGCTCTGACAGTATCTAATCTCTGTTACTTTCCACAGATTCATTATTACAACAATCCCTCCAACRACCATTGTACTAAGACTGATGAAAAGAAACCACATAATTTGTTTGTAATACACTTTTAGTCTTTTCTACATCACTTCCATGCCTGCAATTGTCTACTCTTTAAAAACTAAATCACAGAGCTAATGTTTCATGCTAATGTTTATTCTTTCCTAGTTTTATTTGTAGGTTGGGTGATTTTCATTTTCATTTCTTATGAACAACTGGGTGGAAAACTACTTTTACATTCACTATGTGGATATTTTCTGTATGACTTCTTTTGCTGTACTTTGCCCAGCTATRCTTGTCATGCCTGATTCAGTTACGCTAAGTTTAAAATATCTGCATGAAAGTCAAAAGCATTTTTGTTTCCTTTGTTCACTTTTACTACTCCTTTTAAAATACTCTTTCTTCTGTCATGTTACAGCATTTTAGGTTCTATTCATTCTCTGAATATCCTGAAAAAATAAATAAATAAAATAAAGTGTACCTTTTTTATTGAATCGTGCATACTCACCACCTGAACTAATTTAGGAGTTACATCAAGATAGAAATCAAGAGATTCTCTAAATCTTGTGTCTTGAAAAGATTTTTTACCATGATTTTACCTACTCAACACATAAAATAGAACTTATTCTTTTTAATACAGTTGATGGCAAAATATAAAGATTCTTCTTTTKGTCACCTTCTATAATGTAGACACACTCTCTGTCCGGAGGATACTTGTTGGGGTAATTTGGAGAAGTGAAGATGCCTCCTTCTGCATATTTTGTCCAAGTTCCACACTGTACTGGTTTCTGYCCTTCGGAAGTAGTTTGCTTTTCTGTGAAATGATGACATTAAGCATTATACAATTAGCTCACAAATTATTATGTCCGTGAGACACTCAGAACTCTTTTACAGGAAGAATACAACAATCATCTCTTTCTGTCAGTGGCCTCAAACTTTTCTCTGTTGAGGCTGAGGATGACTATTGATCTAGGGAAAACAAGGCTGTTCTTTAAGGGTACAAATGTATAATTCTTACTCAAAACATGTTTTTCAAAGTGGAGGAGACACTTGGATGTCTAGGGGAAAACAAATTTGTATTGTTTTTAAAATAATAACCTTCTAGGGGAAAACACTGCTTGAGAATTGGAAAGCATGAATTTCCTACTCATACATCTCTAAAAGCTCAAACATGTGCCCTACCAGAAAGCTTCACTCCCTAAAACAGAAATATATCAGTCACAGAATCAAGGAAACAACAYAGAGAATTATGGTCGTACATAGAAGTTGTTTTAAATCTGCAGCATATTTACTCTATATTTACTGCACAGGGGTAGATAGGGGAATTCTTGGAATCTGGATYATAGATTATTTTTATTTCACTGTTTGCTGTAAAATTAATAAATAGCTCTGAGGCCAAGAATCACAGCCCAGAACTTTCCTACTCCTAATTGAATCATCAGAGAGCAGAGTCAGACTTTCTTGTTTGCTTTCTCCCTAGCCCTGAATCTCACTTCCTTCTGCACACAGGCAGAGAAACTGGAGACAAAGGTTTGGGCCAGTTCAAGCTGAAAAAAGAGGGATCCCTTCCTGAGCATGGTGCTTTAGCAAGTAGGCTAAAATGAGACAGAGTCTTCAGAAGAAAATTTACCTAGGCTGCTATTAAAAGGAAGGATAGTAGATTCTAGGCTGGTTTTGCTCTGAAGGAGTTATCTAATATCAAAGGGCTGTCCCATATAACTTAAGCCCTTGGTGTGCAGAGTAAAGGTGTTTGAGGCTCCCTCTTACGAWTAATGAAGAGAAAAAAGCACCTTCCAAGGATGATGTTAACCATCTGAGATCTGACCTGCTCTGCAGGCATTTCTTTTTCTCCCTGGTCTRTATCTAGGCAGAGTACAACATGGAGCTTAATTTCCTAAAATGAATTTTGGCCTGCAGGGACTGCATTCGGACACAGGTTCAGACACACAGTGTGCTTAGCAGCCTCCCCTGCTTGGCTCTCCTCACACTGAGCATGCAAGACTTTTAAGAATCTTTCTATACTCCCCCTGCGCAAATGCACCCAATGATACCCAATTTCAGGTTTTTAATTATACTTCAACAAGAAAAGAAAATTAAATGTCAGTACCTGAGYGTCTGAACTGGACTTCCCAATTTGAAAGTGGGAGTATTTACAGTCTTTAGCTAAAGTCAGGCTGAGCCTGATGAGTAACCCTGGATTTTTTTTTGTGTGTACAGGCACAAATGGCATCCTCCAAACACATGGACAAAGGGCAGACACTGAAAGTAAATGAGCTACTAAAAATTTCAAAAACTGAACTAAAAACTCAAGTCCATACTTTGCTTTCTAATATATTGTCTGACAAAAATGTCTGAAGTTTACATACCTGTTCCTTTTTTGGTTGCCCCAGACAAATGTAGGATGATTAAACTTGCTACAACTGAAAGAGAAATATGCATTAAATATCACAGAGTGATAGTTCCTGCAATCAAATCAATTGTATACGTCTATCACACAAGAATACAAATGATATACAGCTATCATAAAGAAAAAGTTTCATTTTTCATTGCATATATTGTATAAACAAGTTTCTTTGTGGCCTGTTCTTGTAAGTACTTATCTTTGCAAATGTATAAAAATAAAGAAGAGATCTTTTGAGTTTAAAACAAAATCCACAGGCAGTGATGTTTTGCTATTTTTTTTCCTTTTTCTTTAATATTAGAGAAAAGCATTTTTACTAAYATTTATTTCTATAATCATAGTTTGTGTCAGTAATAGAAAAGTGGCTGCTTTTAGCAGAGGGAGACTAAATTTTASTGCCACTGTACTCACTAATGTCTCTCACTATGGCATAATAAAATTTGAAAATGAGTACTGGGAGTAGGAAACAAGTGAGGGGTTGGGTTCTTTGCATCCATCAAAGCCTTTGGAAATCTCTAGCGAAGTAAATTATTGTGTGTGCTTAACAATCTCATTAATCTAATTTGTTTGACTTGTCGAGAGTGTGTTGCTTTTTGCTGCAGTGAATCTGCAGCCCCATTCTACAAATAGATATCTGCTGTGTCCAACTATGATAGGACAACTATGACTCTTGGAAACAAATGCAACCTTTGTCACATGGACTTTGACCTGGAGTTAATTATTGTGTTTCTGGGAATTTCCAAAGATGACTTTTTAACTAGAAAAGGCTAAGAGSCACACCCTCAGCATAGTCATAATGAGACTAATTTGGAAGATCAAAATGACTAGCTAGTTACCTGATGAAGAAATCACCCACTGGTTTTCTTGTCATCACTCATATCTTCTTTGCTATCAGTGAAAGTGGAAAAGCAAAAGCAGAAGAGAACAGACCCATCAGTTCTTGGAGCACTTGGGGCTTTGTCCTGGCTACTTTGGCATTAGGCAACACAGTGCCCAGGCTGCACTGAACTTAAAGTGGAAATGAAATTGTGTGTATATTCAGAGCATTTTGGATCAGTCAGCTACCATTTTGTTGTAGACTATGATGAGGAACTGGTGGACCTGTGGTCTTTAATAAATGTAATTGAGTGGTGTGCTTTCTTATAATGATCCCCAAGAGACATCAAAATTTACCATGGGCAAGTAACTATGATGCTTTCAAAGAGGGTGCTCTCATCATTTTCACCTTTTATACTCCATTTTTTTGTATAATTTTCACACCAAAGGAAGCCAGTCTGCACATTTCCAGTATTCTGATGGCTTTGAGATCCATATATCTATGTCTTTGACCTTTCCCATGTGACAGAGGGTTTGAGGCATGGATGATGCCTGCCTTATTAAGCAGGATAAGATTAAGATTCTGGGAAAATGAARGCTTGGCAGCATATTCACTGTTTCTTGGTCAGGCTCACAGCCCCTAGAGATGGATATTGGCAGTGCTGATAGTTAAAAACACTTCTGTGTCATGGGCATTCAGTGAGAACACTACATCTTCTGCTTGGATCTGAACGCTACCYAGCCATTCATGCCCTTACTCTCCCCAGGGATGAATTCTGGAAATCCATGCTAGCTGGGACTGCCTGCTGACAGTGTCCCAGTCTGAAGGCAAGGCAGGAATTTTCCCTTTACTAAGTTGCTCATTTACTTTAGCTKTGTTTCATGCAGTGATCATAATGCATCCAGGCCTGTAATCTTCACCAGCCAATATTAATTCTTCAACAGTGTAAGGTGGATTGGTGTTAGGACATGGAAGGAGCTGCCAGAGTTCCTTCCACCCACAAATTTATGGAAGCTAGAATAGGACATACAACAGCCAAACTCCATATGAGAAACGTTACTTTTTAGGCAATTAATAATAAATTATATCTGATGCTTAAAAGTTCATTTCAAATATCTTTATCTAATAACTCTCCCTTCATCTTCTATATGGAAAAAAAAAGTGGAGTTCAGAGAAGTAAAGAGAGTTGGTCCAACTCACAGATATRTTATCACCAACATGGCAAAACACATCTTTTCACTTCCAGTTGTAACAACTGGAAAAGAGGTTTCCAGATTACAGAGTTGTTTTTCCAAAGCATGAAGTTTTGCTTATCTGTCCTTATACCAGTATTAATTGTAAATAGGGAGCGAAAATAAACTTGATAATAAGGTCTAATTGACAAGCAGAGACTAAGAAACTAAGTGTTTGGGGGTTTTGGTTTTATTCTGGACATATAATATCTAACATTTGGACAGACAAAGTGAAACACTTCTCCCATACTAAAAAAAAAAAAAAAAAAAA